TGAACTACATTGGGGCATTGACTTGTAAAATGAAGGATGGATTTTTTTTTTTTTAACATCAAGCTCATTCTTATCTTCATGAAAAGTATGTGATAAATGTTAATTGGAAGGAACAGCACAGCCTTTCTCAAAAACCTCTCTTGAAATGTGTGTCTCCATACCCTTCCCACAGAGTTTTGTCTGGGCCTTGGCAGCACGTGGGGGCTGCCACTCACGTCCGCAGGGGACAACAGCTTCACTGTCCCGTTCCAGCAGGAAGTGGCCAGCAAGCTCTTGTATAGAGAAGGGCTTGTTGGGTCACGATCACGAAGTTTTACATCTTACCGGAGTGAGAAACGAATGAAAGACAAAGGCGGTGTTAGTGCTTTCTCTGGAGAGCCCCGTGTTCACCCTAAATTGTCGTCTTTTCAGAAACACACTGGAAGCAGACCTAATTAGCTCGTGCTTTATCTTTTCCTTTCCGACTCTGGTTTCTCAGACGTGGACGAGTGTGAAATCGGTGCCCACAACTGTGACATGCACGCCTCCTGTCTGAATGTCCCCGGAAGCTTCAAGTGCAGCTGCCGAGAAGGCTGGGTGGGGAACGGCATCAAATGTATTGGTGAGTTCGCAAACAAGAAAGACCCTTCTCCGAGGGCCAGCGTTCTTAGCGGCTCTTCCTTGCACACGTGTTCGCCGGCATACTCCAGCGGGAACATCCTCTTCACTTTTTATTTACTCTCTCGTAAATCAAAGCTGTCTTTGGTCGCAGGGATAATTCCTGCCTGAGTGTTTCCTTAGCTTTAATATAAATGGTCAAATTACAACAGGATGCTCTGGCATCTGCCTTTTCCATGCATGTTGCTCAGTAAAAAATTATTTGATGTGCAGCCAGTGATCTAAACAGCTGTAACATGAAAAACGGCTAATGTGTTTTCCCAGTCTTTTCCTAGAGTAATCAGTGCGATTTGAAAGCCAGGGAAGCAAATGGTGGAACAAAGGGGCTTTTCACATGGCCTCAAGACGGGAGCCAGTGGACGGCTTAGTGTTAGAATTGTCCTCACAGGCAAAGCTGAGTGTTTTGTTGAATCCCAAGGAGTCTAACTTGAAAAAGAGACTAGAGAACTCTTTTTCCCCCCGAGTTCCTCTTGAGCCCAAGCCTAATAATATTATATAGCCCTGAGGCAGGGGACTGGATTATACTCTGGGTGTCATTCATAAAGCTGTTTAATATGTCCATGCTGTGACAATAAAGACTATTTCCAGCTGGCAAGAATTACCCAGGTCAATTTAAAATAGAAGAAGAAGAAGAAGAAAAACCATCTGAGATTCCCATGATGACTTCTCATTAAAGCTTATAGACCCCTAGTAAGGATTAAATAAAAAAAAAAAAAAAAAAAAAAACTTTACTATCTCTTACCAATAATGTAAATTAATTTAAGTAAGGCTTGCCTATCCGGCCAAATGTTTCATACTTGTCAAATATTTAAAGCCAATTACTGAATGTACATGATCATAGTTTCCAAATGACTTTGCTGGGTAACAACCTGTGTCGGTTTCCTCCTGTCGACTGCAGGCCTGTTTCCAGGCCAGTGATGTCCACCAGCGTCCATCTCACGGCCTGACAGGCAGGCCTGGCCTCGTTCCCATCGTTCTTGTCCCATGTGCCTTCTGGTTTTCTCTCAGTTTCCATTTTAGGTGCGGCTTCATGTCCGTCTGTCGGTCTGGCCAGCCGTCACAAGACTGCCCGTCCCAGGATGAGATCAGTCACCAGCGGTCCATCATCCTCAGTCATTTCCTTCCTTCCCTCTCTCCTCCTGGCACCCCTGTCCCCTCTCTTCCTTCTCTTCTCTCACCCTCTTCCCTCTCAGTCTCCCCCTTCTCCCTCTCCTTTCCCCGCCTTCTGACCCCTCTCCCTCTTCCCTTTCTCTTTTTTCCTCCCCCCGGGTTCCCTCCCTGACCCTCCTGCAACTTACTAACTTCAGTTAGCAGTCCTAGAAATCTCCAGCCTCTTTTCACAATTGTCGGTGACCTCTTTACATTTAGGAGAAACCCGCATCCTCTCCGTGGGTTTCAAGTCTCTGCGGCATTTTCTGGCTTCGCCTTCCACGGCCCTGGCCCCCAGGTTGTGCCCCTCCACCTGCCTGTAACGCCACCTTCTGTAGGTTTTCTCTCCGGTGGTCCCGTCTGTGCCGATCTCTCCGAGAAACACCCTCTGTCCTTCTTCTACTCTGTGAACTTCTGCTCCTCCATCCTTGCAAGAGGAGGTCTGGAGTTGATTAAAAGTTACCTCTTCGATGGGATCTGCCTCGATCCCTGCATTTCCAACTAGGTTATATCTGTAGCATGTTTTCATAGTTCATAGCAAAATACATACTTCTTTCTTTTCTGTGTTTGACACCCGTCCTTTCCAATAGGCTGTTAATTCCAGGAGATTAAGAAACACGCCTCTCTTCCCTTCTTATAAAATACATTTAGAACCCCATGCTGCTTCTCTCTTGTGAAGATCGGGGCTACCTCCCAAACAGAGCCGCGTACCACGATAAGAGAACCAGTAGAAAGAGCCACCGGAGGTGGAGGTCAGAGTGAATCTGACTCCTGATTTCCTTTGTTTTATGAACACGTCACACAATTCTTGAATTGGTAGCTGGGGCCACGGTTGTGACATAAACATTTTGGATTATGAACCTAAAATCTTGGGAATATAGAGCAGTGTTCTTCAGATAAACCAACACAAAGTCGGTTTGGGCAAGCTCATGGTTTTGACAAGTCACAGCATTAGAATGTCCCATCTCTGTCCGTCGTCTTCTTTCTTGTGCTCACTCGTCACGCAGATCTGGATGAGTGCTCGAATGGAACCCACCAATGCAGCATAAACGCTCAGTGTGTCAACACCCCAGGCTCCTACCGATGTGCCTGCTCGGAGGGCTTCACAGGGGACGGCTTCACTTGCTCAGGTGAGTAACAGACCTGAGCAGTGCTCTGTTAGGTCCATCTCAGGACACCAAACATGCTTTCCTTGTTTTAAGAAAACTATGAAGAAGACTGAAATGATTCTATCTGTGCTTCTACTTGACTTATGAGTGAGCACACACCCTTTCATCCATGAAATACAGAAGCCTGAAAACGCTTTCTGAGTATTGGTTGGTGTTCTGAAGTAATGACATATATCTTTTCTTGTCTTATAAAAGACTACTGTTAACTCTTACTGCTTGATAAAGTGCTGATCAGGAAAATGCGGGCTTTGGATAAGGCACCTGGCTTCACAGTGTATATGCTGCCTACTCTACTATAAACCTAAGTCCATGAGTAGCCTGGCTGGCCTCAGCTCTTCTCATTTTAGAATAGGCATAGTGACCACAGCAGCATTTTTTTTTAAATCACTAAGTGGATGATGTGGGGGAACTTCTCAATTCTTGAAGATGGGATGCATAGTATCTCTGTCTAAGTTATATCAC